AATTTCGCGGCTATGTACAAAGCGCTACAGAGCTCGTATCTGGCAACACTATACATAATTTGAAAGGTCTTGACATAACCTACAAAACAACGCTATGCATGATTAGTTTGGATATTGCGTTCAAAAGTTATAGACGTGTAAACATGGAGTTCACTAACGCCGAAATTCGCGCTATTTTAAAGTTTTCCTTCGTTAAAGGTAAATCCGCTAGAGAAACGTTCCGTGCGATTAATGGTGTTTTGGAGGATGGTACTCTATCACTTCGAACCGCGGAGTAATGGTTTCGACGATTCAGAGCCGGTGAAAACGACACCACGGATAAGCCAGCCGGCGGAAGACCTGTGACGACAAATACCGATCAAATCATGAAATAAATCGAGTTAGACCGGCATATGGCATCTCGTGACATCGCCCAGGAGATGGGAGTTAGTCACCAAACCTTTTTAAACCATCTGCAGAAGGCTGGATACAAAAAAAGTTTGATGTTTGGTGCCGCATAATTTGACGCCAAAAAAAAAACCTTCTGGACCGAATCAACGCCTGCGATATGCTGCTGAAACGGAACGAACGCGACCCATTCTTGAATCGGATGGTGACTGGCGACGAAAAAGGGATCACATACGACAATATCAAGCGAAAACGGTCGTGGTCGAAGGACGGTGAATCGTCCCAAACAGTGGCCAAGCCGGGATTGACGGCCAGGAAGGTTCTGCTGTGTGTTTGGTGGGATCGGAAGGAAATCATCCACTATGACCTGCTCCCATATGGCCAGACGCTTAATTCTACCATCTACTGCGAACAACTGGACCGCTTGAAGCAGGTGATCGACCAGAAGCGTCCAGAATTGGCCAACTGGAAGGGTGTAGTGTTCCACCAGGACAACGCCAGACCACACACTTCGTTGATGACTCGTCAGAAGCTACGGGAGCTCGGATGGGAGGTTTTATCGCATCCACCATATAGCCCGGACGTAACGCCAAGTGATTACCACCTGTTCCTGTCCATGGCGAATGCCCTTGGTGGTTATAAGTTACAAAAGGAATTGAAATTAAAAAAAATTAAATAAAATAAAAAATTAACTTTTATAATAAACGTAATTAAATTAAAAAAATTTTAATGGAATTAAATTAAATTAAATGCAAGAAACAAAATGAATTAATATAAATAAAATAATTAAAATAATAAACATTGAATAAAATAAAAATTAAATAAATTAATAATAATGAAATAAATTAATATAATAAAATGAAAAAAATTAATTATAATGGAATTAAAATAAAATCAATAAGATTATTTAAGAAACAAAAAATTAAATAAATTATTGGAAATAAAATAATTATATTAAATTAAATACAAAAATTAAATAAATAAATATAAATAAAATAATTAAATTTAAAAATATTGAATAGAATTTAAAAAAATTAAATAAAAAAAATTTAATTATAAAACATGGAATATAATTTAAATAATAAAATTTAAATTAAATCAAATACAAAATTTAATTTACCATAAAACAAAAATTTAATTAAAAAAAAAATGGAATTAAAATAAAATAAAATAAAATAAAATACATTAAAGTAAATAAAAAAATATTAAATAAGTTAATATAATTAAAGTAATTAAATTCACAAACATTGAATGAAATTAAAATAAAAAACTTTATTTAAATTAAATACGAAAAAAATAATTTAAATACAATAATTACATTGAAAGGATTGAATGGAATAAAATAAAATAAAATAAAATAAATAAGTGTAATAAAATTCCAAAATAAAATAAATTAATATAAATGAACTAATTAAATTTAAAAACATGAAGGGAATCAAAATGAAATAAATAAAATTTTATTAAATACTAAAAATAAAATAAATGAGTATAAAAAAAATTAAATTAAAAAATATTTAATGGCATGAAAAGAAAAAATATTAAATTAAATAAAACTCAAAAAATTAAATAAAAACAAAATATAATTAAAGAAATAATTAAACAATTATATGCAATAATAAATTAATTATTAAACTAAGAAACTTAAAAAATCTAAAAAAAAATAAAATAAAATAGCATAGTAAGATTATATTAAATTAAGTTATATAAAGTAAAATGAAAAAAAAAATACAATTTAATTAAAACAACAAAAATTTTATTAAAAAGTTGAATTTAAATTAATAAAATAAATTTACGTAAATAAATTAAAGTAAAATAAACATAAATTAATAATTGTTTAATAAGCTTAATTTCGAAAATAAAAGTAAAATAAATAAATCAAATCAAATATAAATAATCAGTATCAAATTAAATTACAACACGTTAAATAAAATAAAATAATAATAAATAAATAAAATGTATAAAATTATTGTAAATAGAAATCAATGCTATAGAATAAAATTAAATTAAATGATATATTTTTAAAAAAATTTAATAACAATATCTTAATAAATTCAAATAAGTGAATATACTTTAAACTTATTAAAAAATAAAATAAAGTAATTTAAGAAATAGATTTAAAGATAATTTATTAAACTAATATAAAAAAATAAAATAAATAAATAAATAAATAACTAAATAAATAATATAAATAATAAAATTAAAATAAACTTAATCGATATAAAATATTTTTAAACAAATAAAAAAACTAATTGATCATAACTAAAAAAATAAATGAAAAGGAATAATATTAGATTGAAGTAAAATATAAAATTAATTGGCAAATGTAAAATAAAAAATTTAAAAAATGTATTTAAATTAACTTACCTTGATACAAATACTACAAAAATAATAATATAATTAAATGAAATAAAACGAAATTAATTTGAATTTAATTTAATATATTTAAAAATTTAATTACATTAAACTAAAAATTTAAGGTAAACTTAAATAATTAATATAAAAGTTAATTAAATTATATAGAGCTTAAAACTTTAAAATAATAAACAATTTAATAAAATACAGAAAAATAAATTAACATATATGAAATAAAATAAAATTCAATATAATGGAAATATATTATTTAAAATATATAATAAAATAAACTTAAAAAAATCAATTCAAATTGAATAAAATTTATTAAGTTAAAATAAAAAAAATTTAAATATACAATAAGTTGAAATAAAAAATTAAGAAATAGAATGAAAAAGACAAACTAAAGTACAATAAAATAAAATTTAACTAAAAAACAATAAATTAAAATAAATAAAATTGAAACAAAATCAAATAGTTACAATACAATGAAATGAAAAAAATTAAATCTAAATCACAACCTTGTACATAGAAAAATAGTCACATTTCCGTATGCTGCAATTGAATGCTTGCATTTCCGCGGGCGATTATTTAATAAACGTAATTTATACCATTCATTTAGTTAAATTAATTAATTCAGCGTGGAATGCCAACTCCTCCCAGTGTCCTTACTCCTCATAATAAACCATTAGCCGGTCGGAGGCGGCTTCAAATAAACTGTAGCTCACTCCATTTGTTATTTACCAAAAATTGGTGGAGAAGCTTGGCCAAAAAGCGCTTTACTGGTTACAAAGCGCCAGTGATCAGGAAAGTAGCAGCAAGTGCTTACATTTTTCATAGAAGTTTTCAAGACACACATACACAATTCGATTATTATACTAATAATTATAGTCAACAATTTGTATCTTACGATATTTAAAATATCGTAAAATTATAGAAATTACGTTCTAAAAAAATCCACTGTTCAGTAGCTCTGTTTACAACAGAAATGCTGCAAAATAACATACATGCGTTTAACCAAACATACATATGTAAATTGTTAACATTTTCATTTCCTCACTGTTAACACCTACACAACTGCATTAAAAGTAACGCTGTTATATCATATACTCGCTCAAGCGAACAAAAAAAACAATGTAGAGCAGACAATAACAGAGAATAAATAAACTCTCATCGATTGCAACTGAGCGTACAAAGAATGTAAACAACTTTATGATATGGACTTGGCTTTCATGAGGAGTAGTTATGGTCATATATGTATATATATATATATATATATAGAATTGATTGGCTGTTGAGAAACGACTTTCATTGCAGAAGGTTTTTTCAGCCGGATAGACTCTGATGAATAGACATGTACATACATATAAATGGATTTTTTTTTTGGTTAACGTTTGTTCAAGAGAAAAATTTCAAACAGTGTTGCGAGTGGCGAATATATCAATAGGCAAAGTAACAGTGGCACGTTGAAAATAAATTATATACCCTACACGAAAATTCTACATGATTTGAGAAGAGCAATCGCTGTGGCTCTTGCGAATTCATTCGCATTAGAGTCAAGTTGCTCTAAATGGCTCGTAGGTCTTATTTTTTCATCTAAGTGACTGCAATAGATATGGAATTCATAAGCTTTTTTGGAAAACACAGCCCTATTAGCTCAAGAATCCACGAAAGCTACTTAGATTTAATAGTTAAAAGATTTATATATGATTTTTAATTGACTTAAGCATTTTTAGTTTATTTTATTGAATGAAAGAAATCATTTAACCATAAATAAAATAAATTAATCAGTCAGAGAAACATAAATTTTGTCTTATGCTGAGTGTCGACTTAAAAATGGGTTGCGTTTTATCAGATAAGAGTGTTCATGTTATTCAAATAAGAGATTAATGTATGCTCTTAATTCCTGGAGGGTATATTCTTCTGAAAATGTTTCTGACATGTGGTAATAATATGTTTGACTCTTTATTATGGTATAATAATTACTACACTACAAACACACATACATACATATGTATATGTATGTACATCATGCGTTGGCGGTGCAGAAGAGAAGATAGAAAGTGTGACACGTGATGATTACCTAGCTGAGATGTAGATCTTAAAACTCAACTGATAATTTACATGGATCGTATTGACAACAAAAAAATTAATAAAAAAAATATACTATTACAAACTGAAATTTATATTTTTTCCTGATTTATTTGATTAAATTTTTCATAAACAAAAAAAACTTATGATTATATACGTATACAATTTTGCAAAATATATAAACACCATCACAAGCCTTACTTAAAACCCCGCACAAACACACACCTACATAATTGTTCGTTATTGCTTATCTCTTGAGCATGCATACTCTCCGCTCTCACAGTTAAATGTAATGATCCGCTCTCCACGCTCACTGATCAACAACAGCAGCAACAAGTTGACCATCAAAAGACAAACTAACAGAATTTTCCATCTTTCTTTTGGTCTTTTCAGCCACTCACAGCTAGCTACCGTCTCTGCTGTGGACGTTCTTCGTCGGTCGGAATGGCTTCGTGGGCTATCACCAATGGGCACGATATTTACAAAGTGTACGTACGCTCTGCCTGCCTGCCAATGCATTTTCAACGCGGCGACAAGCAACTGTAGTTTAGTCAAAATCGAGATACCGTTTTGAACGGACGAATAGATCGGCGATCGTATTCTCAACCGAAGCAAGTTGATAGATGATTATTGATAATCAATACAAAGAATAAACGAATGCAAATGAAAACAAATAAAAAAGAAATTAAAATAAAAGGAAATAAAAAGAAATTCGTTGCAAAACAGAATACAAAAAGAAATCTAGCTACATTTTATGTGTCTGTTTATACAAATAAATGCAAATAAACATATGTAAATTTTCTATGTGCGTGCAACCGTTGACGTATATATATTAAGTGCAAGTGTTAACAAAAATAAAAATAATTAAAAAAAAATTATTAAAAATAATTACTTAAAAAAATTATTAAAAATAATTACAAAAAGAAATTTAAAAAAAAAGAAAAATTAAATAAAAATTTATAATAAAATTCAATCAAGCACAACAAAGCGACGATTAAGATAAGGCAATAAAAATCACGAATTTATTACAAAGTGCACGCTAACCAGTGTTAAATAATTGATATTGAAAAAAAAAAATAATAATAATAAAAACCAAACAAATTGTGAAAAAGTGACGAAGTGTTTTGTTAAAGCAATGTAAAAGCCCAAAGGCAGGCAGATCAGTGTTTATATAATATATAAATTTCGAAATTCAAGTGCGAAAATTATTGGAAAAAAATTTTGAAATACCAAGCGATTAAGTGGCATATGTTTGCTTAAAAAATAGCAATAACAAAGTGAAAATATCAGAAAAAAAAACAAATAGTCTTAAAAAATATTGTGGATTAACTGCAATCTTACATTTTTAAAAGTAAAACAAACAAAGTGTGTTTACTGGCAAGCGAATTGAGTTAAAAAGGTGAGATTTCAAAATTTTTTTATTTACAAAAATTTCAGAAAAAAAAATTTTTAGTAATTAAAATTTTTTTTTTAGTTTTTAAAAAGTCTTTTAAAAATTTTTAAGTTATATTTTATATTTTTTAAAAAATTTTTAAATTTTTTGTTTAATACTCTGAAAATATAATTTTTGAGTTTTTGCTTAAATTTTCACTTTTACTTTGCATCTAACCGTTGCATTTATATGTATATATATTTTTTTGCATTAATAAGAAATTATTATAATGCGTTTGGATTCGAAAAACTCTTTCTTGCTTGTTTTTAATGCCAGTGTATTTCAAGACAAACTCCTTTTGTTTGACGTGCATTTTGCTATGTCACTCTCTCCATGCACTTTTTTCTATTTTCCGTCATTTATGACACTTCGTCGTCGCTGTCATCGTCGTTGTCGTCGGGGGAGAAACGGAAGTAACGCAATAAAACACTTGCCACAGCAAAGTTGCAGCTATAAAAATTGCAAGAAAATACTTAATAAAATAAACAAATCAATAGCAATTTTATTTATGCTATCAGTTCAAGAAGAAACAGCAAATAAGCGTCCAATGCAAAACGAGCTGCACTCAAATGCAAGACAAAAAACAAACAAAACAAAAAATTCCATAGAACATAAAATTTTTAATTTTAAAAGCAACAGTTATATTTGTTTGAAAATATATATACAACAAAAATATTGCGAAATCTAAAATATAACCACAATTTTCGATCTCTAATAACAGAAAGGCTTAGAAAGCCATTATAAAAAAATCAACCAAATCCCAACACAATTAAATTAAATAATAAAATTTCCACAGTTCCCCCTTTTGGCTTAATGCTTTAAAAGCAACCGCAAATAAAGCAACAATGAGCAGATAGCGAACAAAATCATGTCACTAACAACTAACTCTTGCCTAATATTCATTCGTTGCTCCCTTTTCGCCTTCTTTTGTTGATTCATTGTCACGTTGTATGCGATTTTTGCATTTATAATAAAGAAATTTTTTTACGCGCTGACACAATTCACCAGGCAGTCCGTCCATCAGTTTATATAGATCTGTATGTTTTGTGGTGCGTATTCAAAAAAAAAAAAAAAAAAAAAAAAAAAAAAAGAAAGGAAAAAAGGCCGGCAAGTAAGTGTATAAAGTCTGATGCCTCTTCGCACCACTATCACCTGTCCTACCGCTCACACTATCTTTTCGTTTTTACTTCTTCTGGCTCTTGATTTCGCTCTTCTGCCTCTTATTTATTTTGTTTCAATATACATACATATATAATATTTTTCTTTTATTTGCACGCGCATAAATTGTAAGATGAAAGTTTTATTTGCTTGCGATTTGGTCAATTGATAAATTAATTTGAGAGATCACAAAACATTTATTTTCTTAATTTCATTTTTTGCTTAAATAATACGTATGCTAGAATCTCGAAATGCGTGGGCTCTGCACGCTTTTATGAGGTGTGGATTTTTTTATACGCTTTTGCTTTTGTTGTGATTTATAGTTGTAGTCACGAACACAGCTGCTGATATCCCATATAAATCTGTGTGAAATCGTAATGATTTTGCATAAACATTTTAATGGATGAAAGTAATTTTGTAGCATATTCCATGATCACTTTACAAGCTGCTGCGCTCAAGAAAGTTTTCAAATCCATACAGAATCAATAATTATATCTGAATTGCTTGCGTAGCCCCAATTGCTGAATATACTCGTATGTATGTTATGCTTATGTTATGTCTATGTAAATTAGTTAATTAACCAAAAAAAAAAACTTCCTGCAAATAGACGCTTGAAATCACTTTTTATATTTAATTTATTCTATAAAAATTACTAATGTGGACACAGTAAAAATTTTTTTTGTGTTTTTTTTTTTATAGCATAAACTTATTTTTTTTTAATATAATTATATTTTTTTATAATCAATTCACACGATATTAAAATGATTCAATGTGTCTTATAATAAACTGGCACAGCGTCAAATTAATAAAAAATATACCAGAAAATTTTAGAAAATAAAATGACAGCAAGAAAAGTAAATTCCACATTTTTACTTAATTCTATTTTGTTCTTACTTTATTTTAATTTTTTATTTTATAGAATAATGTAATTTTCTATATAAATTATTTTCTCCAAAATTGCACATTCTCATTTAATTATATTTTATTTCTTTTATATTCAATTTTTATATAGAAATTATTATTTAAATTATTTTCTGTTAAATTTCACTTTTCCATTTAATTTTATTTTATTCTTACTATATTTTAATTTTTTTTTATAATATTATTATTTGTCTATTTAAATTTTTTTCTCTTATTTAATTAATTTTCTTTTTCATTACAGTGTATTTTTGTAATTTATATTATTATTTTTCAGCTCATTTATTCCTTTTTAATTTATTATTTTTTACAATAATTGTAACTTTAATTTGTTTTTTTTTCTAATTGATTTCTCTCTTAATTCTCTTTTTGTTAATTTCCTTTAGTTCATTTTTTATTTTATTATTTTTTTTTTTTATAATTTTCTCTCATTTGTGTTTTTTAAATTTTTTACTTCTTAATTCAGTTTATTCTAAATTTAGTTGCTTACATTATATTGCTCATTTTTCATTTTATTTTCCAATATTTGTTTATTTTCTTTAGTTTATTTTTATTTATTTAATTATTTCTTTCATTTATTTACATTTCACTTATTTTATTTAAATTTTTTACATTTTTTGTTCTAAACTTTTCTTGTTCTAAACATTATTTTAATTTTTTATTTTATATTCATTTTTTATTTTATTTTCCTCTATTTCATTATATATTAATTTTTTTATTTGTAGCTTAAAATTTTATTATGTTTCATTATTTTTTTTCATTTTAACATTTCTTTTTTTATTCAGTTTTTTTGCATTTTAGTTTTAATAGAAAATTATTTTAATTTTGTTATGCTGTATTTTGTTATTTAAATATTTTATTTTAAAGCATTATTATTATATCATATTGGTTTTACTTTTTTTTAATCAATTTTTATTGAATATTTTTTTTTGTTTTTGTGTTATATGTATTTTTTATTTTAACCTATTATTTTTTCATTGCATTTTCTCTTATTTTATGAATTTGTTTAGTTTATTTTTTTATATTAAATTTTTTCACTCACTTTATTAGAATTTTTTATTTGATATTATAATATAAAATATAATATTTCCATTTCTTATTATAATTTTTTTATTTCAATAATTTTTAAGTTCATAATATCTTTTTTATTACATATTTGTCTCATTTTATTTAATTTAAAATTTTATTTAATTTTTTTTATTTAACTGTTTATTAAGTTTATATTTTAATGTTATTACTTTTTAATTTTATTTTCTCTTAATTCATTTATTTCTATTTGATTTTATGTAATATAATTGAAATTTTTTTATTTAATTTTTTTCATCTTATTTGATTACAAACATTGAAATATTTTATTTTATTTCTATACATATTTGTTATTCTTTCTTGTTGCATTTGGTATCGTATTTAGTTTTTTATGTTATTCTATTTTATTTCGTTTTATATATGTATATATATATGTATATATAATATATATATATAATTTATAGTATTATATAATAGTTAATGTTATTTTATTTTTCTTTTATTTCCGTTTAATTTGTTTGACTTTATTTAATTTTAATTTTTTTCTTTTACTTTTTCAATCTTAGTTTATATTTCATTCCAATTAATTTTATTTTATTTTAATTCATTTTTTTAATTTATTTTGCTTAAATTCGTTATTTATATTATTTTATAATATTTAGTTTTTATTGTGTTACTTTTTAAATTTTAATTAATTTGATAAATTTTTCAATAAACTCAATTTACTTTATTTGGTTCCAATCTAATTTAGTATATTATTTTCATTTAATTTAATTTATTGAATTTTGCTTGTCATTTTTTCAGTTAAACTTTTTATTATTTTATTCTACTTAATTTTTATATGTTCTTCTTTTAGTTTATTTTATTTTAATTTTATTCAAGTTAATTTTATTTATTATTTTTAAATTTTAACTCTGACTCAAATAAGAGCTCTTTCTATAATTTTTCTTGATCGCTTATACATATAAAAAATATCTAGTTAATAAAGATATACATATATAATATATGTTTTCTTTTTTTTTTGCTTCTTTATTTTATTTTTTCATTTAAAATTATTTAAAATAAAATTTAAACTAAAATTTTCCTCTGTACTAAATTACTCAACTGCATTTGGCGCCATGAGCACACACTTCATTTGTCTTCGAATGTCAACCCCCACTGGCGCCTAGCACTGCAACTATGTTCATTGACCCACTCATAATTTTTCATAATTTTCATAAGGCCAACTCATGGAGTAATTTTAAATATTACTAGCGTCCTACAGAAATTCTTCTTAAATACTACATAATATTACAAAAATGCGCACTCACACATTTACACACTGTCTGCTAGCTGTCATGGCGTATATGTGTGTATATCCAACAACTTAAAAAACTGCTTCGTTAAAAACTTGAATTAAAAACTAGAATATCTGTAAAAAACAAAAAAAAAAATGCAGAAATAAACAAATGCTGCTGGACAGTGATGAATATGAAAAAATTAATTAACTGAAACATTTTGCTATATATAAATTTAAGTATTAATTTTAGAAAATAATTTTTTTGATGGCATTAAAGCAAATAAAAAAATATATATTATATACATGTACATATATATGCATCAACACATATTCTCATTGTACAAAATTTGTCCCACTTCGCTTGCGGTTATGCCACAATTAAGCGAATACTCAGTAATCCAAAGAGCTAAAGAACTCAATTCTACTGTTCATTTAAAGCACTCAATGGATATTTAGTTCATTTACGCACTCATTTACGCCTGCATTCGCCCTATTGGGCGACTTTCTATTACAATGTAAATTAAATGATAAATACTCCTACCCTATAGTAAAATGCATTAGTTAAAAATTATCACAAAAATGGTAT